TGTGTGTGTGTGTGTGTGTGTGTGGTGCGCACATGTGCGCACTCTCATCCTGCTCACATCACACAACCTCGAGGCTAGAGTTTCAACCATGTTATCCACCTCACTCTTTGCACCGTGATGACTATGGTCTCCTTGCATCGGCCTACAGCATTGCACTACCTCCTCACTACAACGCACTGTCTGGCATTTGACCTCTTAAAACACCTCCTTAATCATGTAGGTTAGGCAATGGTGTAGGCCCTGCTAGATGACACAATCTTCTTGCAGCTCCTGCAGCTAGCACAGCCTCGATCGGGGGATTTGGGAGACATGTACTCCCTTGGAGTGCATGACATTGCAAGGCTGGAACCCTGGTCCTGTGGAACCAACACATTGTCAAGCACCCTCTTTTCTAATTTCGAGTTCATGGGTAACATTGGTTTAACTCAGTTGGTACACCCATGAACTGTTAAAAGACAGATCTGACCCTCGTACGGGTCCAGATGGAACCACATGAAAATCAACTCATTCTGAATAACCTGGGGCTGGTCAGTTTGACAAGGATATTTCAATCCCTATGCACGTTCTTTAAAAAAGGACAAAAAAACTTATCACTGGTTCAGTAGGGTCCATTCAGGGAGAACTTTGGAACTGTGGTTCCACATACCAAGGCTGCTCAGCACTGTTCATTCGTTACCTGGATTTCTACAAGTCCGCTTAAGCTGGCTGCTTCGATCCAGGTGTCAAGTTCAGTCCATTGCAGAGTCTGGATCTCAATAACCTTCTCCATCTTGGCTGCCTCAGTCCAGCCATGTGCCCAGTTCGTGTGTTGCCTATCCCTCGCTGATGATCTGTGTGCACCTGTTTTGATGCAGCTATCCCACACAGTCTAAACCCTAAAGAACTGCTGTACTTGACTGCATGTTTGTTTGCCTTTCAGACAGAACTGAATTCACATACCAAAGAGTCTAGCTCAGTTGGTACACCTATGGACTGCTGAAATGCAGACCGGATTTCAAATCCAGATGCTGGATTTGACTGAAACCAAAGAACTGATTCCCATGGATAGCTGACCGTACAGATTCCAGTCTACCGGGATGGTGGAAAAGGAAGGAAGTGCAATCCTTGTGTGTTTAAACAGTTGCCACATGTCTGAGAGTGAGAATGGACAAGTGGGGATGTCCAAATCAACCATTGGGGGGCAGAATAATGATGACAAGCATAGAGTACTATCAGACTCAACACGCCAGCTACATGCATTCCAGACTCAACACGCCAGCTACATGCATTCCAGACTCAACACGCCAGCTACATGCATTCATTATGCAGGCAGCGGATCGCATCCTTGCTCAGTATATCGGTGAGGGGATCATAACATGGAAGAGACCTACCCATATCATAATCATACACAGACAAACACAGGCAAAGGGACAAGAAGACAAAATATCAAGATATGGCAATGCCAACATAATAATCTCTCATTCTCCAAATCTCTCCCTCCGATCAACAACAACCCAAACTCTGTCCGCAGTTCCCAAGAGGGGAGGAGAAGGAGGGAACAAGGGGCAGAAGCCGGATGAACCCTAACCCCCCTGCCCCAAGAGAATAAGGAACGGGAAGGGGGAGGAGGCGGACAAGGTGAACCGTGGTCCCTCCCCCCCCACCACACCCCAACCCACCCACACACACACATGATACTCGCCGCTGAAAGGTAGTCCCTTGAAGCATTAAGGTCATCCAGGTCACAGGTCACAGCTATTTTCTCAGCCTAACTACGATGCCTATGTCTTTACTCGCCCAGTGCTTTCCTCGGCAGCCTTGTGGCCTCTGATGTGAATGTCCAACGCCCCTTACCTCGGTATCGTGCCCAGTTCAGTGCTGGGCCTGCCTTGCAGTCCTCACTTCCAGATCACTGGGCCTTCCTTGGGGCATGGAAGTCCTCACTTCAATGTCCAGATCTAGCTATGAATAACCTACGAGGGAGAACAGTGCACTTCTTATCTTCGTATCGGACTTGACAGGTGAAAAGCCCCCCTTTCACGGACACCCTAACCCCCTTGAGACTCTTCTACTCTACCCGTTCGTGCTGATGACATAATTCCTCCCATCAGCACTAACCCCTTGACACCCCCATTAAACGAGTACATTCCAATCCCCCTGAACACCCTTTACCCAACCTTCAAAACTACATACCAACATGTCCTCGTTCCCACGCCCCCTACACCCAATCTCTTGTTAGGCGGCAGAACTCAAACTCCCCCTGACCCTCACCCCACCTTCCATCCCACCAAAACGGCCCTCTGCGTGGATATCCAATCACGATCACCTAGACACTTAACCTGCTCTGGGATCACCACCCCCTCTCTCCCCCTTGACTACCACTGCCTACGGCCCCTACCCCAAATCTCTTGTTATGTGGCCGAACTGAACTCCCCCTGACCCTCACCCCCCTTCATCCCACCAAAACAGCCCTCTCCGGGTCCACTCCCTACGCCAAAATCTCCTGTTATGTGGCCGAACTGAAATCCCCCTGACCCTCACCCCCTTTTCATCCCACCAAAACAGCCCTCTCCGTGGGTATCCGATCACAATCGCCTAGACACGTGACCGCCCAGCTCTGGATCACCATCACCTCTCTCCCCCTTGACTTCCACTCCCTACGGCATACATAGGATAGCATACTGTCACCTCCACATGTCTACAGATTTGGAGAGATTGAGAACATCTGAACCCTGCCAAGCAGGGTCCACACTCGATCCAGTTCAACTAGCACAATATGCAGTCTGGTCTTTCATCAGATCATATCTGCAGACTCTGCACACACCAGTGACTACAAGCAGACAGAGCACCAACTATTGTTGGATTCCTCATCCGCAAATTACATTTTGTTAAGGAAAGCGAATATCATAAGATCGAACCAAGCTCTATGTATCATCCACAACCCTGATTGAATGTATCGTCCAAACACACAAAATCACACCTACACATCCACATACAGAATGGGCCTTGGGATAACAAGGAAGGGTTCCTTTTTTGGGGGGGGGAGGAAACAAAAAAAAAAAAAGACACGGGAGGAGGTCGGTTCTATTCTATATGTTTTTGCCTTGGGCACTGGGCCCAAGGGTTCCTTTTGAGGGGGGGGGAGGAAACAAAAAAAAAAGACACGGCAGAAGGTCGGTGCCAACCATACTTGCAACCGCACGAGCCGCACATTCGTGCGGAGTTCCGTGCGGGGGGTGCCCGTGCGGAATCGTGTGCGAGGCACAGGGCCTTGATATGCCCTACAGGGCCTATTTTCCAGAAAGTCGGCCGCCCTAAGTGAAGGCAGACACGACCGAGGCCTACAGGCCATTTTGGGGTCACCACGCAACTGGGGAAATTCAGGCAGATGCGGAGCACCAGTTGGTTGGAAGCACCCAGGCCGAGGCTGCCTTTCTTTGCATGTAACTGAGACAGGCCCTGGGCCAGATACACAGTGGACCAAACAAAGGCTGAGGGCAGTTGGGTGCTGGTAACCACCATGTGACGTACTAGCTTCCGGACCTGCGCCATCTTTCGGACCCCTTCCTTTTTCCCGTGTTTTCTCTGCATCTAGATGTGTACAGTTCGACCCCGAGACACCCCCCACCCTGTCTGTGCCCGATTAAAGGTACCCTGTGGGAATCTGTCAGCTCCTTTTCTTTTGTGTTTTTGATTGAAAAGAGTTGGGACTTTCGCGCGCCTTAACAAGTGCGCTTGGAATTTGGCTCGGCAGTTAGAAATCCCGGAATTAATGGAATGCCGTGCGACCTTCCGCGCACGGATGTTCTCGGCCTCCACCTTGAAAACTCTGGGAAATTCTTGTAGGAATATGGATGGACGGAAGACTGTCTTTCCCGCGCCTGTTTTGCGCGCGGATATGGTACTTTCAATTTTTGAATTAGCGTAGGATTGGGAAAAACTGCAACTGTCTTGGTGCCCATTCCCCTTTTGCCGATCGGCGCCATGCAAGCAAGCTCCCTCCTCCTTCCTCCCCGCGCTCCTCTCACCATCCTCCTTCGCGCGCACACGCTTTCTTGCTCTCTCCCCCTGTAACTGCTTTTCCCTCCCCTTCTCAGCGCGCGCCCTTTTTTTCTCCTTCTAGATCATCTGAATCTTGGACCTGTTTCGCGCTATCCTTCGCGCTCTTCTTCTTCCCGCTCTAAGATCCGCGCTCGAAAACCCAGTCGATCCTCTCTCCCCATCTAGCCAAGGAGAAGCGCCGTGTAAGTTCTTACCGCGCAATGATTCTGGTTGGCTGAGGTCGAGTTAGGAGGGATCAACATGGCTTTCGACGGGCGGTCGCTCTCAAACTCTCCTATACCCTCCTTTGCCTCACCCTTCGCCTTTCTCCTCGTCTCTCTCCCTTCTTGCAACTATAAATTGCGCCGGTGCCCCCGCAAAACTCTCTCTCAACTCATCGACCGGGAAGTAGTGGCTAGGTGATGTGTACAGTGCGAGTCGGAAAGTCCTAACGAGCTGACTGTAGACTGGCTGGCGGTGCGCTAGATCGCCACGACGGACTGTGGGATCCAGGCAAGCCACGTCGAGACTACGTTGGCGGGGTGACGATCACAGTGGTGGAGGATGACACGAGACGGTCAGGATCGTCGGTGTCAGAATGCGGACAATTGATCTGAGTTGAGTGGATGACTGGCCTGGGGCCATATTGGAATTTGGTGGCAAGTGCGCCCTCTTGGTTACGACTCTATTCTTCGGTGTGATTTTGCAGCGGTAACCCCGGACCTTCTTTGTCTTTCCAGGACCTCTGTGTGACTGTTACATGCTGCACATGCACACACGGGCCATTTTGCAGGCCCAACGTCGTTCAGGCCAAAAACCTGAATTTCGGGCTTTAAGCTTGATATCCAAGGCTTACACGCCCCGCCGACGGTTCAGCCTGACAGCCCGAGAAAGGACCTACAGGCTCCAGCCTTTTTCCCTACAGGGAGACTTCCAGGCTCTTGCCTGGAAGCTTCCTTCTGACAGGGCCTACAAGCCCCAGCCTATTTCCCTACAGGGAAACTTCCAGGCTCTNAGCAGCCCTCTGGAGGGAGCGCTGCGTTATAGTAGTGGTAGCGTTAGCTAGTAGCCTTCGGCGCTGGGCGCCATAGCTAGGATAGTGGTAGAGAGTCCCCGCCGCGCCCGCGTCCACGTTCCACCTTCAGATCGACGGCTTCGCCCTCGCCCCGGCTTAACTTCATAAGGAGGGGGGGGGTGTTACATGCTGCACATGCACACACGGGCCATTTTGCAGGCCCGACGTCGTTCAGGCCAAAAACCTGGATTTCAGGCTTTAAGCCTGATATCCAAGGCTTACAGGCCCCGCCGGCAGTTCAGCCTGACAACCCGAGAAAGGACCTACAGGCTCCAGCCTGTTTCCCTACAGGGAAATTTCCAAGCTCTTGCCTGGAAGTTTCCTTCTGACAGGGTCTACAGGCCCCAGCCTATTTCCCTACAGGGAACCTTCCAAGCTCTTGCCTGGAAGCTTCCTTCTGACAGGGCCTACAGGCCCCAGCCTGTTTCCCTACAGGGAAACTTCCAGGCTCTTGCCTGGAAGCTTCCGCAGGGTCTAGGCCAGGGAGGCATTGGCAAGAGCAGCCTCCTGCGCATAGGGCATTSKCACGACCARCCTCYTGCACGGGCSAGCACTATAAAGGAYTGGCCCGCCCTACAGGAGGGAGGCAGTCGGCAGTTGTAGTCTTCAGGATTCGGGAGCAGCCCTCTGGAGGGAGCGTTGCGTTATAGTAGTGGTAGCGTTAGCTAGTAGCCTTCGGCGCTGGGCGCCATAGCTAGGATAGTGGTAGAGAGAGAGAGAGAGCTTGGGCGGAGGCCAGGGGTACCTACCTACAGCACCGTTGCTCCAGCTTCGTCTTCAAGGTACCTGCAGCACAGCGCCACATTACAGGCTAGTATCTGGTTCGTAGCAGTGAGAGAGAGAGAGTTCTTCTTCCTCTTCTTCTCAGTTCACCATCTCCTTCTCTCCCTCTCAACCCTTGACTTCACTGCATTTGCAGACTGCGAGAGAAGAGATACCGAGCTTGGTGATATCGGATCCAAGACTCGACTTTTTGGGATTCAGACATGGCAACGAGGGGTTATTTGGGATCGGTGACAAAGACTTTGTGTTAACGACACTCCCATCTTCCTCCCTCCTTTCGTCTGATCCTTACCTCTTCGTCTATGCATGTCTGGACCTGGCGCTTTCTTCCTGTGTGCATCGCCAGGCTCCTTCACACCTGGTGAGGGGTACGATGCATGTTTGGTCTGAGTTCAACCATCGGTTGGACTAGTTATCAACATTCTAGCAGTCTGTTTCGCTACTTGCTACTACATGTGTAAGGTCAGTCTTTGTATCTTAGTCTTCCCTGCGCTATTCAACACTTTTGTATGTATGAGAATGCACATTGTCTGTCGAGATTCTACTCTCACCGCATTGTCCATTTCAGTCCTTTTCGTCACATTGCAGTTCCTCGGTTATTACAAACATCACATATTTGTGCATGTAACAGTTGGTATCGGAGCTTTGCACGTGAATCAGGACTACCTGATCTGACACGTGTGCGGGGACTAAAGAGCTAGGTAGTCTTTTCCGATTGATTAGGACATACCAGTTAGACCCCAAAATCACGATCTTGACCTTACTACCGAAAATCAAAATTTTTTCTCGGATTTTATTTTTCTCGCTATTCTGTTGTAGGAAAATCGCAATATCGCAACATCTGATATTTTCATTTTTGTCTTTTTCTGAAAATTCGAAATTTCGTTGTTGAAAATCCGGAATATTTTTCTTTTCGAAAGTTTCGATTTCCTGTTGCATTTTCCGATACTTGGAAATTCAGAATATTGTCATTTCTGAAATTCGTTCTTTTGAAAACGGTACGGGAAATATCTCCCGATACTTAGGAATTCGGAATATTGTCTTTTCTGAAATTCGTGTTTCTGAAAAACAGTACGGAAAAACTCTCCTGCGGTTTTATTTTCAAACTGTGAATATCCTTATCGGAATAAATCCGCATATTTGTCATTTTGGTTCGGAATTTTTTTCGCAGTGCGGGGATTCTGTCGTTCAGTCATATCAATCATTTGCAGTATAAAGTAGAAATCTTTTTCGCTTTCAGTGATCATTTCGTACTTCAAGGGAGGTTTGGGGACCTACCGAACTTGCAAACATCGGGATTTTTATTTTTTCGAAATTTTTTTGCAAAGTTCAAACTTTTCTGTTTTGATTAGTGGCTCCTTACCGAAGTGTGAGTTGGGCGATTATCCCACCCATCCCTCCCCACCTGTGTTGTTGCTATCTCTCGCCTTACCGTTTCTATTTGAATCCGGGTACCCCCTGCGGCGGCATTGGTGAGTTGCCACGTCAGCAGGACACGTCAGCAGGCCACGTCAGCAGGGCACATCAGCAGAGCCACATCAGCAGCAAGGGATACCTTATCAGCAAGCCCCGACCGGTCTATGCTGTTGAGATCTCAAACAGCAGTCATGGACCAGAGGCCCGGAGAAGCGGACGAGGCCTATCAGGCCCGCATGTTGGCCTGGAGTGCGGAGACTAAGAAACGGGCAGATGACGCTGCAGCAGCAGCGAAGAAGAAGGCGGAAGATGCAGAGCAGGCACGTCTGCTGGCACTTGAACAACAGCGCCAGCATGACGAGGCAGCAGCAAGGGCTGCCGATGAAGAAAGATTACAGCATCGTGAGAAGATATCCACTGGAGAGTGGGCGTTACTTACCATGGCAGCGGCATGGCGGACCGAGGCCGAGGATGGCAAGTTGGAGGACAGCGCCAACAAGATAGCGCTCCTCCTCTCGCATCTCACGGATCTCCTAGCCACCTGCATTACACGGCAGGCGGAGATCCTTGGCCTCGACACCTCGCTAGCTCATCTCCGAGACCGCCTTCAGCGGTTGGAGCAGCGACCAGTCGCCGCCGCAGACACACGCTCTTCCAACACTACCGACCGCCTCAATGCATTGGAGATGGACGTCGGCGCACTCAAGGATGGCGTACAATCGCAACAGACCGCAACACAGCAATTGCAACAGCGGATCTGCACTACCGCCACCACTTCGAGTACAGAACCGCGCGAGACCACTCCAAAGTTCGACGGGCAGGAGATCTTCTGCGACTCAACGAAGACAGATCCTATTCCATGGTTTCGCAAGTTCGAGCTCACGCTGCAGTTGTCCAACGTCAAGGAACACAAGCACCACGCCTACTTGTACTCTCGCTCAGGGGGCGCGTGCCAGGCCTGGTTCGACAACCTCCTGTCCAAGTACGGAGTAGTAGCTGCGGACTTGCACACCGTGATCAGTTGGGATGATCTGAAGGCGGCGTGGCACAAGCGGTTCCAGGTGGAGCCGCCAGAGATCAAAGCCATGGACAAGCTCATGGTCTTTGAGCAAGGCACGCTGCCGAGTACGGATTGGATCGCCGAGTACCAACGCTTGACGTCAGTCCCAGACATCCAGATGGGCTTCAAGGCCATCCGCCATTACTTCATCTCAAGGTCATGTCCGGCATTGAGCAATGCCCTGACGCATGTCGAAGACACCTTGACGACGACGGCGGAGTTGTTCGACAAGGCTGCACTGATCATTATCACAAACAAGGAGGCCAAGAACCTTCGTTCATCTGCGTCAGGCCCGAGCAGGGACCAGCATCGACCAAGAGTGGCCGTGGTCGCAGCAGCAACGCCGTTAGACGAAACCAGCAAGGTTGTGTCTGCCAGTGAAGGAATCAGACTCGCAGCCGCCCGGGAAGGTGGCCGCCCCGGCAAAGGCCGAGGACGCGACAGGACGAAGACACACACCGCATCTAGCCCCGGGCTCGGTGCAGCAGCTCAGACAGGCCCATGGACCAAGTATGGCATCTCCGAGTCCGCATTCAAGGCGCGCGAGAGATTCCATTATTGCCTTTGGTGCAACAACGATCTTCACCACACGCAGGCTTGCCCATTGAAAGGCAAAGGCAGACAGGGAAACTGAGCACCGCCGAGAGTGACTCGACGACACTCTCGACGCCTTCGGAACCGGTTTCTTCGCGAGTAGCCGGCCTTCATTCCAAGGCGCATGCGGAAGTCGATAGTCCTCTTCTACTTTCTTTTGAGGACTATGCTGCCCGGCTCGTTCCAACGCTGGGTACTCAAGCTCAAGAACAAGGAGTGTATGCGGTTTCTTCTCCGTCCGGCAACGGCGACAGTTCGTCTTCAAGTGGTTCTTCACGGGATTCGGCGCGCGAGTTCAACATAGAGGCATTGGACCCGCTCACGTCTGAGGACTTTGCATGGCTTCCTCTCCCGACCACCAACCGATTGCCGGGACCGCAATGCACAACACTTAGCGCTAATCTTCACACTTACCTATCCTTCTATGCACCACCAACTTCGCCGACGGATGACGAAGTCGCGGTGGGGAACATCTTGGCGTATACTACCAAGGTGGCCCGCGAGTTTCGCACGCAGTGGTACGATGACAACAACGCACCGCTGATGTATGTCCGCATTCAGGTTGGGCAAGCGTCCTGCAGCGCTTTGCTGGATAGCGGCGCGRCTCGCAACTTCATGAGCCAATCCTTTATGCAAAGGGCTGGCCTTGGCGCACAGGTTCGGAGGAAGGCAAACCCGACGGCGATCAAGTTGGCGGACGGTAAGACGCAGCAACTTCTCGACCATTACATCGAGGCCGTGCCGGTCTACTTCGCACCTCATGCATGCAAACCGGTCACGTTCGATATTCTCGACACGGACTTCGACATCATTCTGGGAATGCCTTGGCTTGCAAGTGCGGATCACACGGTCAACTTCCATCGG